GTGGGTGAACCTGGGGGTGTATCGGGGCACGGACAGGGCCTTGGCTGGGTCAAGGCTAGATGAACCATCAATGTGTGGGGTGGGTCTTTGGATGCCGGGTCTGCAAGGAGAGGGAGGTAAGATAGAGTTCTGAGATGCCCAGTGAGGGGAGGAGAAGGGTCTGCTGCCAGAGAGCATGGAGCCCTGTTGGTGTCCTTATAAGCAAGGGTGTTCTCGATAACATCCCCACTCCATAGTGTCGTCATGGTCCCCCTCATACAGATAAGGAAACGAGCATGGAGAGGGGAATGAGGTCACTGCCGGGGTCTCCTGTCGAGAAAGTGGTCCTGTGGGGACCTTGGAGAGTTCCCAAAGCCTGTGACTCCAGCTGCAAAAACTAAATTAAGTTCCTTCCCAGATGGTGATAAAAACATTCCTGATAACAGTTAGGATCAGGCTCTATGTTGTGTGTTTGTGTTTTTAAGTCAGAGACTCCATGAGAGCAGTTTTCAGTTTACAGAAAAATGAGCGGAAAGCACAGAGTTCCTACCTATCCTCTCACTGTTATTAACATCTTGGATTAGTGCTACATTTGTTATAGTTGATGAGCCAATATTGATTCATCATTTACTCAAGCCTGCAGTTTAAGGTTCACTGTGTTCTAAGTTCTACTTCAACTAGTGCAGTGGTTCTCAACCTTGGCTGCACATGAGAATCACCTGGGAATCTTTGTAAAATCCTGATTTCTGGGCCCCATCCTCTGGAAATTCTGTTTCTTTGTTATGGGGTGAGGCCACAATATTGGTAACAAAGAAACGAATTTCCGGAGGGTGAGGCCCAGAAACCAGGATTTTAAAAAGATTCCCAGGTGATTCTAATGTGCAGCCAAGGTTGAGAACCACTGCTCTAAACATTCTCTTTGCTCCATTTCTTCATTCCTTCCACCCCCACTCCAAACAACCACTGATTTTTTTTCTGTCTCCATAGTTTTGCCTTTTCAGACCGGCTTCTTTTACTTGGCAAGATGCATTTAAGATTCCTCCGTGGCTTGACAGCTCTGTATTTTATGCCAAATGAGAAGCTCTATCCTATCTGAGCTGGTCTGGGGGCTCCTCCAGGCAAGGGCCAGGGTGGAGGCATCTGGGTCCTCCGAGAGGCAGAGGTCCCCTGGGAGGACCTGCTGAAGGAAGTGAACATACAGGTTTTCAGTCCCACCCTGTGCTACGCATAACTCCAGACTTTCAAGGCATCAGTGAATAAAACAAACCCTGACCCTCATGGAGCTTATATTTTAACTGGAGGCCCAATGCACAAAATTCGTGCAGGAGTAGGCCTTCCTTCCCGCGGCTGCCGCACAGGCTTCCCTCGCAGCCCCAGCTTCATCTGGAAGGTTGTCCGGAAGGACATCCTGTCTAATTAGCAATATTACGCTTTTATTGTTATAAAGAAACAATACTAGCAACAAGATAAATGTTAGAAGGTTCCAAAGTCCACCAAAATGCGTCCTTCTTCAGGAAATCTATCTCCACCCCACCCCGTGTCCTCCTCTTGGGGTTCCCCACCTCTGTGCTCCCCTGTCTGGCCTCGCCCTGACACTGAGGTTGGGAGCCGGTTCTGCCAGCCCCAACCCAGGACAGAATTTGTGTCCACGCCAGCTTGCAAAAAACATAAATGAGCACGGAGCATCCAACCGCCCTGCCCCGCCCCGGCTTCACTTGCGGAGCTGCG